GCGCGGCTTTTGCTTTACCTATTAAACTGTCTTTATCTCAACCCATGAGTTTTTCTCACTTTTACCCTTCCGATTCTCTCCCCCATCCCACCGGGGGGAGAGTGAGCGAGCGGCTGCGTGGTGCTTAGTTGCCGACTGAGATTAAACCACGACACACTGTCTGCTGTGCCACTCTGACCAGTGTCATTCTATGTGGCATGGGCCTGTGAGTTTGAAAACTTGTTCCTCTTGGAGGCTTTGATGCTTAGCTCTGAGCAGAGATGGAGTATTTACCCAATGAGCGTACAAGTGAAGTGCTGAACTGTCCTTGAAAAAACTAATAAAATCCAGGCTGCTTTGGTATTAGACAAGCACTTGGATTGCAAGGATAAAAGTTTGCCTGCTCGTATCAGGAATGGGAAATCTGCAGAGTGGTGGCACGGCATCAGCAGTGGAGAACGACCCTGCTTCAGAGCAGCGTGCAACCACTCTCCATGCTGCAGTTACACAGAACATGTTAGTTTGCCCACATCCTTGGCAAGTGTTCCATCATTCAATCACTGATGCCATCTTTACAATCAAGGGCATCATCTCCACGTCCTTTCTGTGTCTGGCTGTTTTCAAAAGGTACTGCTGGGCAAGGGTCCTCACCCAGGCGCTTTAGAGCACATCTATTGGACTGGTCCCCTGATTAGGGTAGTGGGGAAGAGTATGTACGACAATATTCAGCTGCCTAACAAACAGAGGCATTCAGTGACATCTGAAACGCAGCACAACATCACATTTGGCCTCCAGCTGCCAGTCCAAAAGACCATAAGGTGTGCTGGTTTTGGCTGGGATAGAGTTAATTTTCTTCATAGTAGCTAGTATGGGGCTATGTTTTGGATTTGTGACCAAAACAGTGTTGATGACACAGGGATGTTTTAGTCACGGCTGAGCAGTGCTTACACAGAGTCAAGGTCTTTTCTGCTCCTCACACCACCCCACCAGCGAGTAGGCTGGGGGGGCACAAGAAGCTGGGAGGGGGCACAGCCGGGACAGCT